GCCCCCAAAATTTTCAATGAAGTTCCAACTTGATCCAAGCACCAACAGCCACCCAAAGCAAAATCCACGGTCTCCGCATTGATGTTAAGGTGGGCCCCCAGTAATAACACCATCTTTTAGCTCCGGCAAGAAGTACGAACGAACATGGTGTGGCTGGTGTTTCCCAAAGGTCAAATTACTTCACCCAAAAAACAACGTCGTTAGAGCCCAAAACCAGATGTATTTAGGCTGCTCATTGATTAGGAGTCGACCACGTGAAAAGTTGGGCTTGGGCCTGGCCCTCGGGCGTACGAATGAAGTGATGGGCTGGACAAGGAGTAGGGGAAGAAAGAGACAGAAAGAGGAAGGATTTAAACGTTGGAGCAATTGCAGTACAGCCCAATTGCCAACTATAATAAAACATTATCTTTTTCATTTATTTTATGGAGGTTTTAATTTTTACAGATCCAAATCCAATCGACCTTTGACGGTGAACCAATAAAAATTTGTGGGATGGACTGAACCATAAATCGAGCTTTGACCGGTCAAGTCATGGACGGCGGATCCACAATTTTAAATGTTATCAAGGCACGCATTCGAAGGGTTGAACCACACGACGCCAACAACTCTCATCGAAGCCTGAGGCTACTGCAACCCGACTAGTTAGATGGATGTAATTGTCGAACCCGATCCGGCCCGCCTCGAATACAGTACGTCTACTGTACCTATACTATATTCACATTTTACTATTTAGGGATGTCAACGGTAGGGTTAAAAACCGGTTTACCTTTAACCCTAATCCGATCACATTTTGGCTAAAGAAACAAAACCCTCGGGTCAAGATGGGTTTACAGTTAAACCCAACCAATTTCATCCAAGATGGTCTGTGTCCACACATTAAAGATAATTCAGATTAGTTGAACGCTTTAGCTGTTTAACGGGCTGTTGAATCAATTATGAGATTTTACGTTAGTATTAAATTTATGGGCTCCATATATTTAACACCGACAAAATTTTACCATTGATTCCACAACACGCTAAACAATTAAAGCATTCAACTAAACCTTATTCATTAAAGACATGGAGGGTTCTAGTTTCAGGGGTGAGAGTGCAAAGAAAATCATGTTGGAACAGTATTATCATGAACAGATACTCAATAGATTGGGTGTTGTTCAAGATAGGATGGGCCACTCTTGAATTGATTATTAATGAATTCTAAATAGAACTAGAATTGTACCCATTATTAATTGGGATATTGGGCTTGACCTGATAATACAACAGCTTCATAGTTGGAACTTCACTCTTGAAATATAACCTTAGACTGATTTGGAAGGAGTACAAATGCAAATATGTAGAGTATAAAATCTTATATTTTATGTTATTTTTCCAAACTGAGCCTTAATAAAAATGACAGTAAATAATGAGTTGTTTATACGTTGATAAACCAACTTTTTTTCAATCAAAATTACCTTATATATGTCTATAAAATCCACCCACTTAAATATAAAATATAACAAAAATATAAGGAGACCTTCACATATTATTAATTACAAAAAATCGGTTTGGGTCTTAATCTATTTGGAAGAGTAAAAAACCAGTCCCAACCCAATTATAATTTTGACACTAACCCAAACTCAGCCTAATACCATTTTTTAAAAAAAAAAACACTAGAAGATTAAGAACCTATAACTTATAGGGAGAATCTCCTCCAAGGGCCAAGGCATCCACAAAACAGGTGACTCTTGTTTGCTAACCAATTTGCTTCTCGCGAAGGATATGTCTATAATCAATCGTCAATTCGTTCGTTTGGCAGACATTGTAATTCGGCCTAATACTAAATTATGGTTGACTTGACCAGAAACCGACAGGGTCAGCTGGCAATTGGCATGGGCTTACCATTTAACCCTACCCACTGACATCCCTGTCAAGGAAAATGTGTGAGTGATTTGCACACCACCAATTCTTTATAAATGAAGTTATTCTTTAGCCTGTGTTTGGTTTGACAGAAAAATATGAGAGAAACAGAAACCTGACCGAAGCTTCTCAACAAATTTCACATTCTGTTTATTTCTCATTTTTCTATCAAACCAAACTCAGCCTAAAGACGTGCTTTTGTTTTAAACAATAATTAGAGATATCCTAAATCATTATTCTTTTTATTATTTTTCTTGTACAAAGGAAAATTGAATTAAATGATTTTCTTCATTTGTATTGTAGCAGTCGTAGGATTGTAGGAACCAGCTAAATTAAATTCTATCTCTATTATACTCAATGGACCCTATCCAATTGAGGTAGTTCCAATCCATGAGAAGGCCCATTTCACATCATTTCAGAACACAATGAGTGAATTCCAATAATTTTTAATAATTTAAATTGCAATCATCATTATGTTTCGCCCATACTTGAGTTGGGCCCCCAATAAGGAGGTTCCAGATATTGAAACGGATCTCACTACAGACATTAAGGCCAGCCACTCAGACACCTTGCATCATTCTAAATCATTTTAAAAATAATAGATTTTAATTTTCATGTCATCCATTCACATTTTTATCCACACTTAGGGTGGGCCAACTCCAACAATTGAGATAGGCCCACCCCACCTGATCTAACTTTCAGTTTAACGAATAATTATAAGCATTACACTAAAGATATACACCTATAGCTTTCTAAGAACAACAACGAATGGGTGTAATACAACAATACAACATTTTTCTTTTTTTTCTTGAAATTTCTATATCAGAAAAGAAAAGAATAAATTGGTTTTGTTTCAGAAAATAATACATCTTTTTGAAATCATCAAAATAATGGCTTTTAAAATAAAAACAGATTTTATAGTGTAGAGATAATATGATTTATAGAATATGAGATTAATTAGAAGGAAATATTTATTTGGAAACCAAGAATTCATGAACATGTATTTGTGTTTCAGTTTTTAAAACAAAAAACACATACATGACCAAAAATGTATTTTTTTTTATCAGATGGTTTTGATTTATTTTTAGAACTGGCAATAAGAAAAACGATGCATATTATATAATACCCCCAAAATAACTTTTAATTTTAGTGACATCCATTAAAATTATTAAATTGGTCGGGTGGGTCTGATCTGGGTCAGGATAGAAAAAGAGATTTGACAATCAAAATCTCATGAATTTTGATAAATACACCTGATTGGTTAACTATACTAGTCGATTAATCGCGAATTTTTTAGATATCATGTCCTTCCAATATTATAGTCAAACCCATTTTTTATTAGATGAGAAGCCAAATCCAGGGTTTGTATTGGGACAATCAGGTGTAACAAATAAGAGTCAATTATAATTAAATTAGTTTGATTCGGGTCTGTTGAGTCTGCCCGACCCATTGATAACCCTAATCAAGATATTGAAATGGGATTCACTCTTAATACTTAAGTGGGTCCTATTCCACTAAGTGAGAGTAGGCCACACCATGGAGAATATGATTCGAAAAAACATGGTAAGCAACCTGATCAAACAAAAGCAACTCCACACTGTCTAAATTCTAGAATCTCATCGTTCACTTTCTAAACCACAGAAATCCATTGACAAAGAGAAATTATTGACTCTATAATTGGCTTCTTTTATTTGAAAGGCGACATACCTATTTATAAAGTCAATATACCAACTTAAGAAGGTTAGTAAGAGATTCAACACTAAACAATTCAAACAAGAGAAATCACGTCACTAGTAAGTAATGCTGCCAGACTGTTGAACTGGTGATCAAGTTAACTTCCTGGGTCCTGGTTAAATGATGGATTCAATGGATCAAATATCCCAGTTCACAACCAAGTGATGGTGGCTTATTTGGTAGGCAGGTTTGGGGGTGGTGGATCTCAGACAATACACTGTGTTACATATGGATACTTTGAATTTGAATCTAGCAATCAGCAGCAACCTTCGTGATAGTTGGGAGCGGTTAGAACTTAGACGGTAAGTTGGTGGGTCCCACAGAAAAGAATGAATTCTGAGTGATTTATTTATCTGGGTAAGTAATACCCTCATGAGTCATGAGACCATGCTAAATTCTAATTTATGATAGGACAATATTATTTCTTCAATAATGACCGTATTATAGATAAAACGGTCATTATATAATCTTATATAAGAAATAAAAGAACACTGATAACTGCACTTACCCAAATAAATATTTATCAAGAAATACTTCGCCAGATAATTGGATGAATAATTTGCCAAAAAATTATCGAAACCTTACAGCTTGATGTGATGGGATGGGATGATAAAAGAAACAACAAAAAAATGGAAAGAATTTACAAAAACAAAAAGAAAAGCCTGAAAGTTCAAATTCACTCATTTCCATTTGCACAATTTAAATGAAACTTACCCACCCATCCGAGCATGGGTAAAGTTGTTGAGGATTAATGAATCACAATGCAGAGGCATTAGAACAAACTACCAAATTGGTTATAGGCAGTAGTACTGTGGAGCCTGGACGACTCAATGAGGACCGCCGACAGCATTTTTAGGTTATTGATTAATCTAATCAATAATCATTAAAAACCAAGCATATCTCCACCACCATTAGAACAAATATTCATTACAACCGCCACCTCCACCCTCCCAAAAAAAACTCAACAAATTAGATTATTGATTACTTAATGTAAAATTAACACAAATTTGTAAATCAATATATTTATAGCAGAACATCTAAATTAATATATAGTTAATAAATTGTTAAAAATTAATTGCCCCCTTATTAACCAAGTAAAAAAAAAAATTCTCTGCTGGTAATTTTTTTACTCGTTTTTTTGTAAAGAACTTTACTTCCTATTGTGGGTAAAATCACATTGAACCTGTAAAGAAGTGTAATTCAGTAATTGTCACACAGGTACTTCATTTCAGTTGGAAACCAGTGAAGCCCTAATAATTTTCCCATCAACTCCACCTTTTTTTTTTTGTTTTTTTCCAATTCGTACGTGTATATGTAGACCACGGTCAAATATAATATGACGAAATTACTTAATTACCCTTAGTCAAAATCAATAAAAATTGTAAAATGATCCCATGTTACGCCCCCATATATCCAAAATGAGCATGGCATCACATAATAACATCATCTCCATTCTTCTACTTCCATCTTCCCGGATCCACCAAGAAAAAAAACAACATAGAGATCAACCGCACATATAGAGAGCACACATATACATACATTCGTGCATGTGTATGTATATATGTACATCTAAAGTATGCTTTTCATTAATTAATTATAATTTATGTAGATTAATGTTTGATAGAAAAATAAATAAAAAAATGGAGACCAATCCGAGAAACCAAACCCACCAAAGTCTGGTCTCCATCCAAGACTACCTCGACTCCTGTCGCTCCTCTCTTTTTCTCTCTGTAAACCGTAACTTCTTTTTTTTTCCTTTTTGTTTCTTTTTCCTTGATTGAAAGTTGAAACTGCATAAGATCTCTCCTTTTAAGAGCTCCTTCATCCTTTCTTTTTCCTTCTTTTCTTCTGTATTTTTCGCTGCTTTTTATCTCTTCGAGAGTCCAATCTGTAAGAAACGCTCGGTCTCTCCCTAGCTGCTAGCTCATGTTTCACGTTCTTCATAGAGTTAACTTTCTTCTCTTCGTTCCCGACCCAGACTCAGCACCATTAATGACGACGAATAAAGAGGAGGAAGATGAACAGGTGGTGCTTGTTCTGTTGCTGCTCTCGTAGCTCAAGAGCGCAGCAGCATCAAGCACCCCGGCTGGGCTCATCGGCGGACTCTTGCCCACACCAATCGAAGTAATAATCTCCTGAACCAGCTCGTAACACTTGAACACACTCTCCTGCATTTCAACAATAAGTAAAACCATTAAAAAAAAATCCAGAAAGCAAGGAAATTTAACAGTCAAGATTCTGGGGGTTTTGTCTGTTTTTGTTTCTTTTGTTTACCTTATTTAGATGGGATGAAGAAAAAGAAGAACAAGAGTCGAATGCGCGTTCGAAATCGATGGTCTGGCTTTCTCCAACAACGGAGATTGCTACAGCTAATGCAATCTCTGATGGCCGGAACTCCAGGAATTCGACGCCTGCCCATTCAGTGAGAGCAATAGAAACAATATATGAAATCTGTCATTTTTAAGATCTTGAGATTGAATATGGAAGGGATAAAGAGAAATAGAGGCGTTAGAAACCTTTGGTGGTGATTAAAATCAGCTCTACGGAACGAAAAATCAGAGATTTGGGGTTTGGGTGTTCTGGGTCTTTGAGTTTGCACAAGAAATACTCAATGAAAGAAAGAGGCGTCACTGCGTTTGTTCTCCATTTAAGTACTGACAGCAACATAAGCTCCATTCTCTGAATCGTCCGAGCTTCGAATACCGGCTTCCCTTCAATCACCTGAAGATGGATTTAAACCGTTAAACCCATCTCAGAAGTCTGAAACGCATAAAGGAATGAACATGGCATGATGGTTTTGTTTTGCTCTCGTTTGGTTTCTGTTCATGATTTGGTGGAATGGGTTTTTGTTCTACCTGTAAATCTATGGGTTGGGGGCAATCAGTTTCCTCCATTTTTGCTGCCAAGGCCAAGCAAGCTACAGAAAGCAACGAGACCATCCATGCCTTTCCACCACGCTGGGGATGAAGAAAAAAAGAGACAAAAAATTACTGGATTGTGTTATCATTCACTCTAACAACATAAAAAAACTCCATTTTGTGAGTTGACGCTTTGATAGCTTACAGGAAGTTCGTACTGCGATAAGAACCGATCCAGATAATTGACAGATAAACAAGCAGTCAGTGGTTCAAAGTTGTAATGGCTATGGACCTTCAGAATAACAACAACAAATCGGATTAGAAAATCTACCCACCATTAAGAAGAAAAAGAATAGTAAAATCAAAAGCAGGAAAGACTGATACTTGGATCGATAATCCGAAACAAACCTTGTAAATCCAGTCAACAGAGTCATTACGAGCAGAAACATCGAGGTCTCCGGAATGAAGCCTGGTCAAGTAATCCTCCTTCGGTACCATTTCTTCTTCTTTCTGAAGGAGCAACAAAACTCTAGTGTCATCGACGGCCGAGTCATCGAAGGAGAATAGCTGTTCCTGCTGGTCCATCCCGCAAGGCTCACTTGCGACTTCATCGACCTCATCGTTGCCCACGATGAGTCTGCGATCTTCGGCGCAAAGAAGGCTCGAGAAGCAGTCCATGGTCAAAGGCATGGAAACCCTCTTCGTCTTAGAACGGTTTCTTAGTCCTTCAAGAATCCGCCATTAAAGCTCTTACAGACTGCAGAGCTTTACAAGAAAACGTAGCAGTAGCAGCAGGCCAGTAGCAGCAACAGAAGACAGAGAGAGAGTGTGTGTGTGTGTGTTGTATACCTGTATATGTGAGAAGGGCAAAGCCCAAGTTTCGGGGCGAAAAGAGGAATTGTCTAAGAGGTGGCGCCCTAATTAAAGCTTGCTTTCGGGGACTTTTATTAAGGAAAAGCAATTAACTTAATTGTTTTATTTCAAAAGTAATTTAAATTTAACGAGAAATGTTAATGTGATGCCACGTGGCCATAAAATTTCTCTCAGATTTAAGTTAGTTACGTGGCAGCCACCTGAGGGTAGATATGCATCCTTTCTAGATGTGGGGTTTATCATTTTATTAAAACCCACTAACAAATATGTTATTTGGTTATGATTTCATTATTTCAAAAGTTGAATCTTCACAGTCTTATCAGCAATAGTCAAGAAATTGGACGGCTAGAGTTAATCATCACTTAAAAAGTTAATAAATCTCTTTTTTGCCTTTAATTGGCGTAATAGATTACTTGATTAGCAAGGACTTTTGGGCTGTGGGTCATCTCAGCATATCGAGTGGTTCAGATTCTGTCACATGTGCTGTATGAATGCTGCAGCTTATCACTCCTGCTGATAGTACATGTGGCCCCACAAAAGCACTGACATGTGCTTGCATTTGGCCCAAATAGAATCTTGGAACCCTAGAAGGGTTGGTCCGTTGAGTGTTGACTGAAACAAGGATTCAAAGAGAAGAGAATCCCTGGGGCTTATTTGGGTGAACCTTTTTTTGGTTTTATTGGAAAAGCTTTTTTAAGAAGTGCTTTTGTGCCGCAGATGACAAAGAGAAAAGAAAGAAAAAGAGCTTAAGAGCCATTGCCCATTGATGGTCCTGGCTATCCAGGGTCTTGAGAGTTGAGACTGGAAATTCAACCTAAGAGAAAAAGAAAATTTTGACTTCCAACAGTAATGACTAATGAGATATCAAATAAATTTAAGTACTTTTATATAGAAAAGAAGCTCCTTTTCAACTTTTTTTACAACGTAAACATAAGTTGCTTTTTTTTATGAAAAATAAATTTCTTTGATTTGTAAAAGTTAATAAAAAAACTTCAATATTACCCAATTGGCCAATTCATTGATGCTTTACTGGGTAGATTTTTCTTTTTACTGCATAAAGATCAAAAGCTCTGTCCAGAAGCTCTTCCAAGAAATTGCTTGGTTAATAATATAATTAATTTGTCCAAATTTATTTCTACCAAACCAATTTCTATTCAACTCCTAGTAAAGGTAAACCTCCATTAGTTTTTCCATATTTATTGGTCAAGAAGTGGTTAGCTATTACAAACTCTAATAAGTATAAAAAGTAACTTCAAAGCAAAAGATTATCCAAGACTTCTTTGATTGATTGAGGAATAAATTAAAGACACAGATGAAAAACTGGGAAATCAATTCAAGAGAACTTAGGCCTGACTAGTGACCACCATCAAGTTGATTAATCTTTTATTTAGCAAATAAGTAAACAAAAAAAAAAAAAAAAACAGTGGAATAGATCGTTTGCTTGTGTGAATGGTAGTCCCTTTTGTACTACTACTATTCTGTTCTTTAAATACCTAACTACCAAAGTTATTTTGAAAGGTTTCTCTAATGAATGTGTGTGAGAGAGAGAGGGAGATCAAATAATCCTGAGCAGTGGACCCTTTGGATTAGATGAAAGAAACCCTCTTCCCCTAAGGCAAAGGCAGCAAGAGTCAATATGTCCTTCACCCATGTCATTAATGGTTCTGTGACTTATGACAAGCTATGCTTGTTTGGCATGTGGATAACCTACCTAACGGAGATGTTGTGTCGGACATGGAGATTTAGAAACAGCATCTTGGTCATTCAGTCAATGGGTTAAGTGGACATACAGAGCCAAACAGAACCGGCCCTATTGTACGGGGTTTGGTTCTGCATTCTGTCCCAATTATAGTTGGGGTTAGGTCCGGTCTTCGTTGTTCTCAACTGATTAAGACCCCAGCTGATTATATGTTACAACAAAGATATCCCAACTCTGATACCTGCCTTTCGTAGTGCTAACCCAGCAACAAAGATACGCCAAAAGTGTCAAGTGGAGTGCTCCCATTCACCATAAAATTAAGGCTCAGTTTGTCAAATTAGGGGGTGGGTATTAGTCAATGTGAATAGTTTTGTTTTCACAAACAAAAATTACTGCCACATCAGCAAAAGTATATTGTCTTTGCTGACATGGCACTTGTTTTTGGTTTTTGAAAACACCCACTTAATTAGAGTTTAGAGGTTAAAAGTACTGCTATCAATTATGTTTGGGTGCTATAAGGTCAGACCCCACAGTCCCAACTCCCAACTAATCGTTGGGTTGGTTCTGGGCTTGTTATCACCAATGTTTTTAAAAATTATCCGTAACTAGAACCGCTTTGGCCACTTGTTTTTGGGTTGATGGTTCGACCGTCCAGTCTGAATGGATAGCTCATTCCGACAAAAATTTAAAAAAAATAATTAAAATAAAAAATGGCCAAAACAAGTTGAATGGGTTGATGATTCGACCACCCGAGTCAACAGGTCATTAACCAATTCAATGGTTTTTGGTCAGGGATCAGGTTTGGGGTAAAATAAAACCGGATGCCAGGACGGTTCCTGGGTTGAACAGTTCGACCATCCAAATTAACAACAGTTCGAAAACCATGATACAGGACCTATACGATCTGGTTTGGAACTGGTTCTGCTATTTTTTCATCGGTTCAGGACCAGATCTACCCTGATCCGGAACAGATACAACTCATTAACAGTAGTACTACATCTAGGCTTAGGTTCACTGTGGTAGTCGGTCTCCTGAAAACTGGACCAGGCTATACTATTAAATATTGAAGATGGGTCTATTTCACTGCTTCATTCTTTTTAGAAAGACAGGACTGTGGTGGGAGTGATGCTCTGTGGTTTTGGAATCAAGTGCTCTGTAATTTGTTTTTTTTTTTCAGTCTATGGCCCTGTCATCAAAATCTATATATGTAAATAATCAACAAAAAATCTTCTTCTTGTATTCCTTACTTTGAATAAAACCCTATTACAATAACCTAATTAAAGATAACAAATTAAGAAAAAAAAACATATTTTCATTTGTTCTATTATTTCTTCCCAAATAATGACTTTTCTATACCCTATTTCTCTATGAACTCTACCATCTGTTGCCACTGAAGATCCATTTCTCCATAAGTTTGTGAATTCTATCTCCACCATATTTATTGTTTTGAAGTATGATGGGTGAGACCATTCACAAACCATGAAAAACTGAAAAGGGTTCATCAAGGTAGAATCATTTTCTTGTTGAAGATGCCAGCTAAGAATCTAAAATATTAAGTAGTGATGCAATGATGCACAAAGAAATTATCAGACTTGATGGATTTCATGGACACTATAATTAATCTCTCTATATTATTTTAATCAGATGGGTGTTATTTTAAAGGCTTGTTTCTTATTTGGTTCATCTTTTATCTAACAATGAGGTTTTATTTATGAAGACAGAAGAAAAGATAAAGAGTAAAACCCTATATCTGACCTATAATGTAGATTAGGGGACCATAGAAAAATCACTAAGAATATAAAAAATAAGCTAAAATATTAATAGCTATACACAGGTATACAATTCCATCAGCCATGTAGTTTGCACAGATCTAGGGGTCCATCTTTAAAAATTCTTCAGTCAATATGGCAAAGATTTAGCTTGTTTGTGTGAATAGGCCCTGGTTTGTGAGGGCTCTCATGTTGCTGCTTTTGGTTTTGTGAGATGGGACACACCCAAAAGCCTGTAAGCCCAAACTGACTATTTCTCAGTGACACAGCTCCTCCTTGAAACTTCAATCAGTGGCTTTTTCAGAACAGCTAGCATTGCTCAGAGAAACTGAACCAAAGCTCAAGCCCTCCCAAATGGGTCCTAGAAGTGGAAGGATCGTCCTAGAATCCTTGGAATTTGATAGCATCCGATGCTTTACTACACAGAGTCACCTTCCTCCATGAATCCATCTCTGCAACAGTTTGAGCACCTGAGTAAATCAATAAGACTGTCTCCATTTTCTCCTCCAAAAGTGGACCAGTGGTGTTCTGTAATTCCCACTAGGAAATAAAGAAATAGTTTACTACAACATGCCAACTTCTTAAGACAAAACCTACTGAAGTTGGAAACTCAGAACTGTATTTTAAGCTGGTTCATTAATGGTGGGCTCAATCTTTTGATGGCTATTCACGACAAGTATGAGGTTCATGAACGTTTTCTTCCAAACCCAAGCTTTATAGTACCAATATGCTCTGAAACAATGTTTTGAATTTTGAACTACTGAGGCTGTCTGTGCCTGGTTTCAGACTCTCAGTGGTTCGACTGAGTTGTGTGACTGGGTCAGCACTCAGCCGCGGGCTAGTCACTCGATCGGTATCTGGCGTAGACTAAAGTCCATGTGTGTCAAATCAGACTAAAGTTTGTTCTCTAAATATGCCTTATTAATAAAATTTAGGTCCAATCACAGGTTGACACATCACCCAAAACTTAAATTTCATTCTGATTTTATAAAATCCCAATGAACAAGAATTGTTGGATGACAAAGCTGGCTCACATAAGTTACTCTCCTCCTTCGAAGAGGGATATACGTGGGGCCTGATCTTTCACATCTAAGGTTCTAATTTGCCACGTGGTCATCACTTTGGCCCATGAGGACATCCAATTTCTTTTGACCATTATTCAACCTTGACGTCATCGTGACGTCGTAATTATTTCATTTATGAAAGAAAATATTTAGGAAATATCGATCAATCCTTTATTTAACATGAAATAAAAGAAAATATAACAAAACAAGCGAATAAATTAGTATTTTTTTTGTTAATACGAAAATAAATTAACTTGAGCACAATGTGGTGAAGGCAACAACGGCTATCAGAGTGAACTGATTCATTTTCTACTGAGCATAGTTTGCATCTGTCTCTAAGATTCTCTTTTTGGATTTAAGGGATAGTCTCTCAAGAAATCGCTCAGCCTAAAAGCTTAAATTGTTAGATGTGGTTATTGAATAATTTTTAACGCCCATCTATATGAAATTTTAATAGTTTTTATTTTATATGTCCTACGTGAAATCTTATTGGGCTT